AGATCACATAGTCACCAGGTTAGGCGTCGTTACAGCGATTTCTGTACCAAGTCTGTTTGTACGGAGTTGAATTGCTAACTCTATAAATAACTGATTTTCAAACAGGTTGTCCACCGTCTAGACTGGTTTTCAACCAAGACTAGAATATTCTGTCTGTCCCGTCATTAACCACTAGATTTGGGGTTGGGGGAACAGATAGATTCCTACCTATCCAATGGTATATGTGTAAAAGTGAACACAGCAGCCTCGGCTGATATTTGTACTCGAACCGCGTATCCAACATTCCGTCACAACAAACGTCTATCTGTCTTTGAACACACACATACATACATATGACCTGACGATTGCGTTTAGCATGAAATAAACGTTCGTCTCTGAATGTTGACTTCAATATCCGCTTTTATGCTCTACTCCTGATATTGAGCACTTATCCTCATAAATAGCATTCCTTAAATCTATATTTTATCATATATATATATATATATAATACAAAAGCTTAAACATTAATATTCCATGGTCATGATTTATACCATTGGAATCGTAAATACGATCCAATTCATCAGACCAAAAAGAAAACAGAAAAAAACAACTCCTGGAATAAAAAATAAAATTTAGTGAGAGTGTATGTATGAGAGTGTGGGACGAATGTTAGAGTAAAAGAAAGCTATAGAGAGGGGTAACAGACGAGTGAAGAACAGGAGAAGAAGAGGAAAGTATAAAGATGAAGCGGGGGTTAAAATTTAACAGAGAGAAGTTTTAGAGAGGAGAGTCAAAGACGGTTTAAGTGAGAGAAATATGAATCTTCTTGGATGTCTAATACATTAAAGATGTAACCAGAAATGATACATTTTGTGGTGACATACGCACACAATAGACGATATAATCTTAAAGATCAGAAGATGAGAGAGGGAGAGGAAAAGAAAAAAAGAAAAAGGGGTGGGATATATATATATATATATATATATATATATATATATAGTGAGATAAACTGATAGATAGATAGATAGATAGATAGAGAGAGAGAGAGAGAGAGAACAAAAAAGGTGGGTCAACAGAAAAAAAGAGTATCAGGAAGAAAGGTGGATGAACAGAGAGAAAGAGCCACACAAAGAAAGAGAGAAAGAGAAATATAGAGAGCAACAGAGAGATAGAGAAACAGACCGACAGTCAGAGAGAGAGAGAGAGAGAGAGAGAAAGAGAGCAAGTAAGATTAGTTATCATGATCAGAATATGATTTCCTGAAAAGACTTTACTTAGCTTCATTTATTTTCCGAATCTCTCATGCAGTCTAAAATGATGTCAAACGTGAAATGTCTATTTCGTCGAGGCCTTCCTATTATTAGTTTATCATGTGTATTTTTCAATGGTTATTTTTGCACGCTGCCCTTTCCCGGGCTTTTCATCTTCCGGCTTCAGAAGAAAACAGTCCATCCTTGACATAACAAGTACACTGTCACCTACCAGGTTAATGTAGTTTAAATGTTTTATATTTCAAAATAAATTCCAGACCAAGAATAACTATTGAGAAGCAAATACAAATTTTGCTTGAGAATTTCAATTCAGATATGATTTATTATTTTCCCAAAAACAAGTTGTAATATTTTTTTTAAATTGTAATATTTTTAAAACTGTTACTTCAATGCGATCTTTAGCCTTAACAAAGTCTGAAGATGGCATCGAAGCGTCAAACTGGCAGTCAGCATGCAATATCGACCCTTTATATATATATATATATATATATATATATATATATATATATATATATATATATATGTGTGTGTGTGTGTATATATATATATATATATATATATATATATATACCGGTGTAACAGCAAACTTGTCTAAATCATGTAAAACCAAAATTCTCCATTTGTTAGATTAAGCTCTGAATCGTTGTATCTTAGAAATGATTGAAGATATCTTACTGGAATTATCCGACGTTTTTATAATTTTACAACTTATCAAATTTTTTTCTGATTTCTATGCATATTTTGTTATTATACCACTGTGTACAGTTAATTATATGAAAAGTATGTTAATTTATTAGTTGGAAGTACAATGAATTAAGAATTTGTATGTGTACGAATATTTGTTAACACCCCCCCCCCGCCCCACTGTATGTATTGTATATATTTGATATTTTCGAATAAGGATAGCTGTGTTTGTATAAGAATAACTGTTGATTTGAAAGAAAAATATAATATTGACGATGCATAATTCTCTGAAATTCAATGTGTATAGCATCCGGGTTATTAATTCCAATAAAAGACAAATAAACGTCGCTGGTTTTGTGTGTAAAACCTTGACTCAGGGAAAAAAATCGATTGACAAAGTCCAGACTACCGCCCCCAGAACAGTCTTGTGTACTTTTACACAATATACCGAATTTCGCATCGAAACTAAGAATTTTTTTTCTATAAATATTATTATTATTAATTGAACAATGATTGTTTTTTTGCATGTGGAAGCTTAGTCAAGTTGCAGAGGCAGGTGACACTATTTCATGTAATTAACAGTTTCGGGACACAAAGGTGTAGGCAACCCACACTTTCACAGGATTTTCCTTCTCAATGTTGGGATTTGCTACATGAATATATATATATATATATATATATATATATATATATATATATATATATATATATATATATATGTGTGTGTGTTTGTGTGTGTATATATATATATATATATATATATATATATATATATATATTAGACATTTATATGTTGTTTCAAATGACTGGCTCTTCTGATTTACAGCTTCATTACCAGGTGCACATTTACAGTATATTTCATTTAATTTTATCATATTTCACGCATTTTACCTGTTCACGCCCGATCTCTGGGGAATAAGGGCCAGCATTCCACCAACAGTCTCGTTATTATTATTATTATTATTATTATTATTGGCTGCTCCCCTGAACAATTGGATCTTGACAACTTCCAGAAGTGATCATTATCTGACATGTTCATAATCTGCAATTCCTACCGACATGTTAGAAATTCCAATGCATTTGCCTTCTCTGGATTTGTAACATTATGGCTGGAGGTTCACCCAAACTCCATGCCAACATTGGATGACCGGGTGGTGTAATCTTTAAAAGCAAGGAATTGTTAATTGAAGAGACTGTTGGGTTCGTTATATTCAATTACGTGCGTATACCCTTGGGAAAGGTATGAATTCATTCTTCTACACCAGCTATGGGTTAATTTGTAACACTTGTGTCACTAAACCATTATTACCGCAAAAAAATGTTACAATCTAAAAATATAGACTACTAATTCTCATAGTCTCATTGTAAATGTGTTGAGAAAAAGCATTCGTGTTTTACTCCTTTTGCTGTGTACTTGCTCAATTAATTTTCTATCGGTATGCAGGTTTTTTGTTCCCAGTAAATGTTCTAGATTATTCTAATAGTTTTCTCAAATCAATCTTGTTTTCCTTGCAGTTCAACTCGATCTATGACGACACAACTACGATAATTTTCGACGCATCACGAAGATACTGCTAGCAAGATATCGAAAAAAATCTTGCCTGCTTGCGAACTGCCAACATCCTGAAGCAATTCCTAACGTCACCTGACGCAAAGGCATTTTACTGAGAATTCTGTGGCTTTGTAAAAATCGACATAAAAGCAGGAAGCTGGAGAAGGAAATAAAACAAATAATCAGAATGATAAATTTCATACGCAAAACCGCAGGTTATCTTTCATCTTAATGATATTCAGGTGTTCGTTTAAGGGTCACAATTCCTGTTGTAAAACGGCACGGTGTGTCGTAATGGGTTCGAGTAGAAGCAGGTGAGTGCCAGTCTATAAAGTACCATGAAAGTGGTATCAAAAGCTTCCTGAATATTTTTTCCATATTCTTGAAAAGTTTGCTTTGGGTGTAGATCTCAAACGCGAAAAGCAAATAAAAATCTATTATATAACTCTCTCTCTCATATATATATATATATATATATATATATATATATATGTGCAGACATAATTTTAGTAGATAAATAGTAAAAATGTAGGATTAAAAAAGAAATCCCTCAAAATATATATATATATATATATATATATATATATATATATATATATATGCGCGTGTGTGTGTGTACAGATATATAGAAAAAGGAAAGAACACGCTAGGTAAATAATCCACAATTCAATTTAATTTTAATGATTATATTGAAATCATATTTTTTGTAAAAATTATATATATATATATATATATATATATATATATTAGTAAATGCACATAATATCTCACGTCAATATCACGGCATGAAGTTTCATGCGGTAACACAATATATACTACATACTTAATATATCTGTTATATAACATTGAGCACTGTTTTTATAACACCTGAGTAAAAAAATATATGTACATGAAAATATACATATGTTTTCTACCATACCAATATATATATATATATATATATATATATATATATATATATATATATATATATATATATATATTTATATATATAAATATATATATATTTATATATATATATATATAAATATATATATATATATATATAATAAAAAGGCTTAAACACTAATATTCCATGGTCATAATTTATTCCATTGGAATCGTAAATACGATCCAATTCATCAGACCTACAAATTCAAAATGAAAACAGAAAAAACAACTCCGGAAATCAAAACAGAATTTAGAGAAAGTGTAAGTATGAGGAGGAGTGACATGAAATTTTCCACTAATATTATCTATCTATCTATATATATATATATATATATATATATATATATATATATATATATATATATATATATATATATATATATATATATATATATATATATATGGAGAGAGAGTGGGGAGACACACACAGAGATACCGAAATATGTGGTGTTTGTGTATGTGCGTGTGCGTGTGCGTGTGTGTGTGTGTGTTAATATACCTCAAAATGTCCCTATATATCTTTCTCAATATGTTTGTATTTATTTCAATCTTTTCATACCTATGTGTATAAACGTCCGTTTCAGTATGTTCATTACCGTCTTTCTCTATCCACATATGTATCATTGCTGGTTCATATCTATCTATCTATCTATCTATCTATCTATCTCAGTTGGTTCGTACCTACTATGACATTTCATTTATATTTTTTATCTGTCACTATATATATATATATATATATATATATATATAAATCAAACTATAGATAATTCTTCCAAATATAACACAGCCAATACAAATCCAGCCAACAGAAAACAGAAATAATTTAATCGATAAAATTAAACACATAAAAAAAATAAGCGAAAAGAATAGAAGCATAAAAAAGTGAAAACCATCAATAGTATATATATATATATATATATATATATATATATATATATATATATATATATATATATATATATATATATATATATATTCAGATAAAGTGTATCTGCAGAAGGGACAAATGAATAAATAGTCACAAGAGGAAAAACTATACTCAACACGATTCATTTTTTGAGGGATTTTATGAAGGCAATGTAGGATTTATTATGCTGCACGTGTTTATTTACAGAGGCGAGGATGTCATTGCTTTATTGGTATGTATTAATGTAGGTAGAAACCTATAATACATAACACTTTTTAGACTCTCATATATATATATATATATATATATATATATATATATATATTTATATATGTATATATGTATATATGTATGTATTGAATAGAATATGTGAGCAATGAAGTAGTTTTAATGAAAACAGGAAACGAAAGGACTATTATATTTTCAATCGGAAAGTTCAGAATGAAGGAATCTGGCTTGGAGAATTTAATACCAACAAGATATATTTAATGCAAAATGAAGAGTAAAAAAACAACGACTAGCCTACTTAGTCATTTTATGCAAATGAATAATACAGCGATGCCTGGGGAAAGATGGCAAAGAGTCAGACACTACTTAGATCTGCAAGGGATAAGAAACTGTGGAGAGCCATGATTGCTCACGTTCAGAAACATACCATAAAAAAGATAACACTGGATTTTTATTTCCAATTTTTTAATTAACAGCGGGTTTTTCTGTTGCCATTATCTGTTCTGGCGCCTCTGTTGTTTACCTCGAGCTTCTCAACAAAATCCAAAGAGGGATCTGCTGTTATCGGTCTTGACTTGACATCTCGGCTTCAGTCACTTTCTCACAGACATGATATGGCTTCCCTCTGTATTTTCTACATGGCAACTGCTTCAACGAGCTTTTTTCCTGGTACCCCAACTACATGAATTTAAACGTGCTACTAGATTGGCAACTAGGTCCCACCCTTTTACTGTTGAAATAGTTAAATGCAACCGCCACTTCTACTCCAACAGTTTCTTTTCTCGCACTTCCCGCTCGGGGAAATCCCTTCTGCTAACTTGCTTCCCTGATAACTACAATATTCAAAAATTTAAACGCAACGTCAATCTCCATCTTCTGTTACCTAGATCCTCGTTCATCTTTTATCTTTTCCTCAATCCCCGCTAATTGAATGAAAATGAGAGTAATGACTGTGCATAGCGTATACACAGTCATTTCTCACATTTTCATTCTCTCTCTCTCTTCTCTCTCTCTCTCTCTCTATATATATATATATATATATATATATATATATATATATATATATATATATATGTATATATATATATATATATATATATATATATATATATATTGAATGCAAAAGGAACAGTAAAAAATAACGAATTGCCTACATAGTGATTTTATGCAAATGAATAACACAGCGATGCCTGGGGAAAGATGGCAACGAGGTAGTGGCACCCACACCTTGCTTGAGGTTAAATGCTTAAAAAATACCAAACTTGTATTTTCAGCTCTATTATGAATGACCGATTTTTCTTTTCATTTCTATAATAAATACCGTACATCTGTTTTCTATAATAAATACCGGACATTTATTTTCATTTCTATGATTAATACTGGATTTTGATTTTAATTTTTATAGCTAATATCGGATTTTTATTTTCATTTTTATAATGAATATCGATTTATCATTTTTATATTTGTAATTAAAACTGGATACTATTTCCGTTCTTATAATCAATACCGGCTTTTTATTTAAATTTCCATATGTAATACTTGATTATGATTTTTATTTGTAGAATCAAGAGAGGATTTTTATTTTCATTTTATAAATAATTCCGCATTTTTTTAATTATTCACGTATTTTAATTTCATTTCTATAATTAATACTTGCTCTTTCTTCATTTTTGTAATTAATACCGAGTGTTTTTATAATTAAAATCGGATATGATTTTTATTTTCGTAAATAATACTGGATTTTTTTTCATTTTTATAATTAATACTGACATTCTGTTTATTTTTTTTATAATTAAGAGTGCAGTTTTATTTTCATTTTATAAGTAATCCGAGATTATTATTTTCATTTTTATAATTAATACCGATTTTTTTCTTTCATCTTTTAGACTTAATACTGGATATTACTTTCATTTGGATTTTTATTTTCAATTTTTTAATTAAAACCGGGTTTTTATTTTGATTTTTATAATTAATACCAGATTATTATTAATTCCGTTTCCATTTTCATAATTAATACAGCTTTTTAACGTTAATCTTTATAACTAATATCTGATTATCATTTTTATGGTTAATAACAAATTTTATTTATTTTTTTTATAATTAACACCGGACTTTATTTTAATTTTTGCAATTAATACCAGATTATTTTCAGTTTTATAATTCCGCATTTTCATTCTCGATTTTATAATTAATGCCGGTCTTTTATATTTGAGCTTTATAAATAATACCGGGTTATTATTTTCATCTTTAAAATTAACATTCAGTTTTACGTCGGGATGGAAAAAGACTGAAAAAGACTCAAAATTAGGGAGGCTCTACGCATAACTACCGTTATTAGAAAAAGAAAAGGGAATGCCGGAAAATAAAATAATTTTGGCCAATCAAAACATTGATACAAAGAGACTTATGATATTAGCCGAAACCAATGTTCGCACCAAAGTCCCAAAGCCTTGTCAAAAGGATATAAACTGACATCTCTTAGCTAGAAGAAAAGATGGCGAGAATGACAAACAGAGAGGCCACCGCGGCGAAACCAGCCATGCATAACGAGTGTAGTAGTTAAGATGTCATCAGCTAATGTTTCTTCTGTCCTGTTTAGGGTCGACAAAACACAGTAGATTAACACAGACTTAATTTCTAATATTACTACTGCCCCTATTATAGCATGACTTCAAAAACTAGCGCCTCCAGACTTTCCCTAATCATTCTAACAATATTCATTCCATAAATGAACATTATTGTGAGACCGAATATCAAAGGATTCACTGATCACTCTAAAGAAAATAAATAAAAAATATTATGTTTTATACCGTTGAGACCCAGTTCATTTTATGCCCTATGTTTCCGATAAACATCACCAAGAATATCTACAACACCGATCCACACTGATGACCACACAACGCAGACACACATAACCACATGACCTTCTGCAGTACGCCGATAGAAAAAGGCCTACAAAATGTTAATGGGATTGCTACATTAGGCAAGTGAAATGGGCTAAGATTCAAAGTGTTTTGTTACTAAGTTTTGTATTTGTTGTAGCATACCTACGGACGATAATGGGTATATCCCCGTTCAAATAAATACAGTAGTAAATACCGTATGTTGCTCGGCAGTTGGAGATTCATTGTGGAATTCACTTGACTCTCTCCTAACAGTTGATTACTTTTCTACGCGCCGCTGGCGAATCTTATATGTGTTGTTCTTGTCCTAAGTATTATCGTTCGTTACCAACTTTCGCGTGATTATTCTATTCAGTAACTTTTCCAAGGTTACAACAGTATTAATGTCTTTTCTTCTAGTCCAATTTATTTCTAAGTCGGAAATTCAAAACTTTACAAAAGTAGTCCATGATGACAACCCTGAAGAAGATGGTTATTAACGTGTTTGCGTGCAACTCACATGCATTTTTGTGTTCATGTTTCTTGGTTCGAAACCCTAAGTAGCATTTCATTTTGGTTTGATTTTAAAACGGTTAACGTCTTACGAGATACGAATAAATGGCATAGCTTTATTTTCTTTAGCATTGTTAAATTTGATAATTTAGTCACATTTGAAAAAAAAACCCGCAACAAACAGAAAATGGTTCAACTGATGAGATATTAATAACACCAATTTATATCATGCAGCACATGAGCAAAGTTTAAGTCGTCAATTGCTAAGTGTGCTATTAATAAACTTGGTTATTAATCTCGTGTTAGGCAATTTTTCTTCACCAAGTCTGTTTTGCTCCTTTATAAGGCTACTAGCAGCATGGCCCGGCGTTGCCAGTGCTTGATTCAAAAATCTTACGACTCATACAGCAATCGCTATCACTTGACTTAAAATATTTTTGCCCTTCCTTGCCTTTAAAGGAGTGCCCTTTGCCGTGCTGATGTTGCTACATGCCTTACTTCTTGCCTATCTCATACTGTGAATTTTGTCTAAGCTCTATACGAAACATTAAATCTGTTACGAAAAAAGAACTAAACAAAATGAACACAAAACGATCAGCTTTAAAAAAAGGACTCGTAACTGGAAAAACCAAATGAAAAAAGAATGTTAACAACAAATACTTTTTCACACCCAACCCAGTTCTGCGGAATCAGAATCAACGTTGAGTTTAAGCAAGCGAATGAGCCAAATGGAGTAAAGTGCTATGCAGATATAAATTTTTCACACTTGTGACGAATGCAGCTATCGATTTTTTTGCATGCTAGCATGCTAGTTAACATTCGTGTCAGTCAGCTGTTGGTTCTCAAACTGGCCAATAAAATCTCCTTGCCTATTCGTGGCATCCAGCTATAGGCTCTCATTCTGGCCAGTAGTAAATGGCCGCAAAGTACATGAAAACTGCCGTAGAAGCATGAACAAGTCGATTATTTCCACTATCGAGGGGAGTTGGGAAATGCAAAGTCGGTCTTGTCCTTCCCACTAACTTGGAGCATGTGCATGTAAATTTTGGTGCAAATCCGTCGAAAATAGCGGCCGTGCATTCGTTACACACACACACACACACACACACACACACACACACACACACACACACACACACATCCTGCCTTTTATAGATAGA